TTTTTTTTTTTTTTTTTTTTTTTTTTTTTTTTTTTTTTTTTTTTTTTTTTTTTTTTTCTGTCTTCGCGAAAATCAACTGGTTTGCGGGCACATTCTTTCGATCGAAGCACTCGGTGGGTTAACTGTGTTCCTTTTTTTCTCTTTCTCTCCGAAAGCGATCGGTGTACGACAACAAGACACGAGAGTTTTGGTTAAATCGGCAGTTTGGTTGTTGACGTTTGAGGATCTCTCGGTTAAACAAAAAGCGATCTCAATAGAAATTGAGGTTGTTTGAACGTTAAAACGCTCCGAAATTCGAATAACGGAAATATCGCCAAACAGGCGTTGTAGAACTGACAAAATAAGATATATTTACGATAGTTCTTGAGAAAAAATCGCATGTGTTTGAGATTTCCCGCGTTTACCCATATATATATGTTGTAGCTTTCGGGTAACGTTAGGTAGTTTGTTGTTGTTGTTGACTACCGGTGGCGGTTGCTCCAAAACACGCCGACAGCTGCGTTGTCCGTTAAAGTACAATCATAAGTGTTTACTATGGCTACTGGAAAGGAGTTGATAGATGGTACGGGTGTTTCTTCATATTTTTGATATTGTTTGTTCACGCAATTAAATTTACCGTGAAAATTTTGTTGAAGCTGTGAGAAATTCATTGGAAGCTGATGGGGAACTCAGTAGGATGAAGGCTGAGATGAGAACAAAGGTGATGAAACTACTTGAGGGCTCACACAAGTCCAGTAGATCGAGTCAGCCAAAATCACCGCACGAAGTCTTGATCCTCAATGAACTCATCAGGGAGTATCTAGATTGGATGGGATACAAGTACACGTCGAGCATACTTGTTTCAGGTGATGTTTATAATGTATATGTATATGCATTTCAAGTGACTAATAAGCCCACTGTTCTTTGATTTTTATAATTTTTTTATTAATTTTTTTTTTTTTTTTTCAATACAGAGAGTGACCTGTCCAAGCAGCCCCTGGATCGTACTTTCATCACTAAAGAATTGGGAGCTGTGGAGACTGAAAAGACAAAAGAGTTGCCGTTGTTATTTTGTTTGGTTGAAACTATTAAAGAAATCCAGAATGCGTGAAAGGCACGGAATTTCCCGAAAATTGATAGTTAATCGTTGTAAAATTTTAATGTACAAATATTGAAACGATACGTATGAAAGATGTTTTTAAGATTATATTAGACATATATTATTTTAAT